CCTATAAAATACTGATGAAATAAATCGGAAAGTGGTAGTGGGGGGGAGTGAGCTAGATTTTACATTCTTAAACCAAACAAAGTCCAAATAAAAAGAAACGGCTATCGTTTCCATGCAGTGCAGGGACATCTGTCAACCTCTGGGGCATGATGATCTGTCACAATAAAGAAAGCGCTCTCAAACTACTGACAGCTTGCTGTGCTTTTTTAAATTCAGTGTGACTGTATAACTCAACAGAGAATAAATGCTCCAGATGCATTTAGTCTGTTAATACTGACAATACACAATAACATACTGAGCTAACCATAATAATGTGAAACAAACCAGCTTTTCATACATTCACTGGTGTTTTTGTTATGGTGACAACTGCTTCCAATAAACAGTTTTTCTTTTGGCTTTAGATGTTTATTCTATGACCTTTATGATGTTGACAGCAGGATAATAGTAGTTTGCTTATCAGTCCTCAGACTAGCCTGTGTTCAATGGCACAGAATATATTTAAATAGACATAAAAGGTCTGAAAAATCCTATCATTTGAATTCTGGATTGCCAGTAACAGAAGATTTGTTAAGTGCTTTTAAAATCATGATAGATTTATCTTCCTTTACTGAGTGAGGTGCAAGATTCAAAGGTGGAACTTTAACATTAGGTAACAGCAGATCATTGTCTGTTTCAGCCCTCTATTGATTATGATTTCACATAGTTAGAGGAAAGACAATTCACAGAGTCACTGGCAGCTGCACCACTAGGCCACTTCTGCTGGGACTATTAAACCTATAACTAGAGCACCAGCCCTTGCAGTATCCCGTGTGGTGGAAGATCCCTTGTTTTCTCCACACTGGAAAGGCTGTATCAGAACAGTGATAGTGTAGCAGTTCACAGGCTGCCAAAGGTCAGAAGACTGGCAGATCAGACTTACCATAACAGAATCCAACAAAAGATGGGGATAAGCTAATGGCTGAATTACTGCATCACCAAGGCAACATCACTGCACAGAAATCCAAGGATGAAAAATGTGTGCATGTGTGAGTTTGCATGCTGCATGTTGTGAAGACAAGCATGATACTAAAGAAACAAGAGAAGTCCCTTTGTGATTCTTTATGCTTGTGCTCACATTTTCTGCAGCGCCGGAATTTATTGTAGGCATTATTTTGATCATTTTTAAAAATGAAAACTGTCTTAGATTAGTTGCTAAATCAAATAACCAGATCACTGATGGATAGAGAGTTAATGCCACAATTCAAAAAGCTTGTTTACAGTGGTATCATAATATTTACATTAGTATTCTGAATGTACTATTAACTTTGCTTAGAGGCATTGTCTGTGGCACTCCTTTAGTCTGGCAGGTCAAAGGTTTTCTAAACAAATGTTTCCATTGGTTAGGGATGTCAACAGTCCAGGCAGCCATCATCCTCCTAAACAAAATTCACTATTCACCTCAGAGGTCAGTAGTTCTCTCTATGAAGCTCCTCATCGCAAGGTCAAGAATTTCTTAAATATAGTCAACCATTTGACTGGGGGCCTAGTTCCTGCATTTAAATGTTTTGGACCTAGACTTTCTACGGTCATCTGTCTCTGCACTTCCCTGGACCACATTCCTGTCACCACAAAAGACCATTTTTTTTCTTTTTTATAAAGAAACAAAGTTTAATGTCAGAGCAGAGTGGCAGGTCCTCTATCTGTGACCTGAGTGCAGACTGGGAGATTGGCTGCAGCATGGGTCTGATGGTCAGATGGTCAGTGTCAGCAGGGCTTTTGTCATGTTCACATTGTATCTGTGCACTGAACGGGAAAACAACAAAAGAGTCAAATAAATCATTAAAAAATACAGACTCCCTTAGCTTCCACATCTGACTCCTTAGTCATCCTCGGCACTATGCCAAACAACTGACCTCAGCGGGGAGGAGGACAATTAGGTCACCTCATGATTGCATTACTCAAATGACATATTAATGTCATAGTGCCCTTTATGCATTTCATCAGCATTAGTTAATGATGAGTGCAGTAAGAAAGAAGAACATGGTTGATATCGATTGCTTCATGCTTCTATAATCGTATCATATCTCACTGTGAATAAAATGTTTATCTTTTAGAGACAACAAACAAAGTCCACTGCATAAAGCAGGTGAAATTTATTTTTCACCTACCGAAATTAAACCAGTCCCCATTATAGGAGTGGTGTGTTATCCTTGTAAATTATGTGTGTATCAGTGTTTTGAAAATATCCGTAACCTTTTTATTGCAGAGTCCCATAACTCCAACCCTGGCTGTGAGATATTTGTACACACAGTGACCGCAGTGCTGAGGGGTTACGGAATAACAAGGAGCTCCATGCATTATTAATGGGCTCTGCTGTGAATTTGTTCAGAATAATAAAAGCGATTTCCCAGAGCCTCATTACTGTTTTTAAAGCATGTGTTTGGTATCCATGGACACCCCCTCTCACATTCGCCTCTTCTCCCCCTGTATTGAAATTCATGTCATGCACGGCACTTGCTGTTTTTAATTTTCATTTCATCATAAGCACTTTAAGACTGTTGCCAACGCTTATTTGTGGTTTTTTCCTGCAGACCTCTTCACTCGAGCTTCTGACAGGACAGATGCTGCAATTAATCACGGCAGAAAAATGGGCATCGTTTCCAAACCGAGCTGAAGAGCCAATCACCGTAGCAGCAGCGGCGGCAGCAGGCTGCAGCCCAAATTACAAATGCTCCCTTAAAACTAACTAATTGAAAACAAACCAAAATGTGAAAATTCTATCAAACCGATATCACGGAAGCACAGGTGCGGATTCTCTCTCCTAATTTGTAACTAACATTAACCCATGTTTAAAATGTCTCAGTTGCCACTGGAGAAAAAAAAGGCCCTTCTCTGGGCCAGTGGATTCACAGCCTATTGTGAAGATATGATAATTATTGTTTGCCTGCCTCCCTCCCCCGCTCAGCATATTATTCAAGGGAGCTCAGCAAACCCCTGGGGATGTCTTGGAAATGAAGCGATTTTGAAGGGAGTAAGAAAGAGGCAGAATCCAATGCACTGGTGTGTGAGAAGGGGACTGTTATTGAGACAAGTACCGGTTACACGCTGACCTTGTCCAATTTCAACACAGTTTTTACACACACTTACAATGGACTGTTCAAACCACTGAGAAACAGCACATAGTATAATAATGCCACATCAATGCTCATATATCCCTGCAAATAATTTTTTTCTTTTATAGAATTATTCCATGGAAAACATACAAATTTATTTAGTAAATCTCAGAAAGAACTGAGAGCTATGAATATTTATCAGTGTATTTATTTTCCAGGAACATAAAGAAATACCTCAAAAGAAATTGTGGCTAATACAACCCTTGAAACAAAATGATTCCTTCAAATAAATATTTGTGATTGATAGTTTAATTTTGAGCAGATACACAAAGAAATATATAATACTTCATACAAAATTATGGCTACTATCATATTAGTGATGGAATGTCTCTGGCTTTGTCTTCATGGTCGAGCAAAAACTCAAACATTAAATTACTATGGTGAGCGGAAAACAACTTTTAAAGAACTCCATATGGATATGCATTTATTCTATGGACAGTTTTCAAAAACAGTTGGCTTGAAAGTAAAATACAAACAAAATTAATTGCTGCTATTGTAACTCATAAAAAAGTATAAAAGAGCAGAAATGCACTATGTGATATAGCAATCCACAGGTCGTTTAACAATGTTTTAATTAAAGCCTCACATATTAAAACTTTACAACAGGTGATATGAAAAATGTACAACATTTTATTTTTTTTTCCCAGGGACTTCTGTACAGCTGGCAAAAATACCTCCGATGCTGTTTCAGTTGGCTTTGGCAGTGCAACAAATTGGCTCTGCTAACACTTCCTTTCTCTGTTTTTTTTTTTTGTTGTTTTTTTTTTTAAACAATGACAGTATTAAGGAGCAGAGTAAAAATACATCACTCCCCAAAGCATCCGCCATGAGCTGGAAATGTATGTTTACCATAAAATATCGCCATTTGTTACACAAAATAAAAGCATAATTTAATTGTTAAACATCTTGAGTAAAAACAAATACAAAGAGATTAAAGAAGCAGTTTTTTGGGGGGGGGGGGCTGCCAGTTACACGCTTTTGGGCAAATCATCTGGAGGGTAGATTACTGGATGAAGGAGGTCTCGTGTCTCCCCTCTAAAAAACATGTACAACAGATTACAGCTACAGTTTCATGATGTGATGACATAAATGATTTATGGCAGTTTGTGTGTCAGTCTGTTCAGTCATTCATCCAGAGATCCATGTTCCAGGACCTTTTAATTTCAGTTCCCCTTATTCTTCAAGACATTTTCTGCATTGGTGACATGGTTAATATGTGTTTAAATACCACTGGACCTCCAAAATGTGATGATTTCATCAATGATTTCCTCCACGCCACTGTTTAACAGTTACATCTGCGAGAATGACTGGTGAAAGTGAAAGGCTGGACTAAAGAAAGTCCAAGTTATATACTGGCCAGTGTGTGAATAAAGACTGATGTGTGGGTTACTGGTTTCCAGCAAGGATCCTGTGAGTCATTCAGTCCAGGCTAGAGCTGATAAAAATCTTTTTGTTGAAATGCATTTAAAATGTCCTTTCGCTGTGTTGAACTGACAACTCTGGCCTCATAAATAAAGCTTTATTGTTAAATAAAACAATGAAAGACACACATCCTTCAACATACTGTGTGCCTAGTCAGTTTAAATTGACAGCTGAAAGACCCCACAAATAATCACTGGACGCTCACCCTAAAAGGTTTCTGTCATAACTCGACCTATTTTATAGACAAAACCCCAGCTGGCATGTTTACCTCCTGTACACGCATGTGCATTATCCGTCTATAACAATGGACGAGTTCTTTGTATAACATTAAAAATCTTACACACTTCTTAAGTGCAACTTAGAAAAGCAACATCGAATGATGCTTTTATTCTATTCTTGTTCTTTGTAATAGGACTTCCATTTGGCTCAGTAAATGCTGACCTGGGACAGGACCTGGGCGTGGGCCTGGATTTGGGAGGGTGGATTTGGGAGGGGTGTGGTTGCAGCTGTGGGGCTGGCTGGGGGCTGCCGAGTGGTGCAGAGCCTCCTACTGAATGGGGAGTACCAGGAGAGTGCTGGGATGGGGAACACTGGGACTGATGCTGCTGCTGCTGCTGCTGCTGTTGTTTTTGGCGCTGGCGGGTTTGCATCCG